TCTCTCTGTCTCTCTCTCTGTCTATCTCTGTCTCTCTCTCTATCTCTCTGTCTCTCTCTCTCTGTCTCTGTCTCTGTCTCTGTCTCTCTCTCTCTCTGTCTCTCTCTCTGTCTCTGTCTCTCTCTCTGTCCCTGTCTCTCTCTCTGTCTCTCTCTCTGTCTCCAAAGAATAGACTTGGAGTACTTTGACAACACACATGTGTTTGCCTGCCCACTTGACGGTCATCTGTAATCTTTGGCCGGGTTGCACTTAGTCCAAATAGTTGTTTTTCTCTCCCTCCAGCATACACTGAGGCATTGGAGGTCACAATGTTTATGTTCTCCACATATAGAAAGCTGACTAACAAGATTTCAGTTTTTGATGATCATATATAAATCCTGTATAATAATAAAATAATAATAATGTACATAGAAGGAACTACTTCCTCCTATGGAGAATCTCATTTGTTTGAGCTATGTTAAGCTGGGTTCAGAGCATTAAGCATTTCTTGTTTCCACACAGGTTACCGTCCTCCTCCCTTTTCAGAAAAGTTCTTCCTTGTTGTAATAGAAAAAGATGCAGACAACCGTTCAGTCCTAAACATGTGGCATCTTCATTTAAAGTCTGTTCAAGCATGTGTTGGTAAGTTCCAGCCTAATGCCCAAGCTGGATATGTTAGCATTATTTACCTACTTTGATGGTATTTAGTTCTTCACAAGCATGCTTAAAGGAGAACTATGAGGCGAGTGCTTTTCACACACCTCATAGTTCTAGCCGACCTGTGACAATGAAACTGTCACAGGTCGGCTTAGTAGCTCGGATCGGGAAGTAAGCAAACACATACAGGCGTTCGCTCACTTCTCAATCCTGTCACTGTAGAGAGACGCGACAGGGGATCGAACTGGATTCCCTGCTCCGATCCTCCAGCGCTGACTGGCGGAACTGACAGGGGAGGGGGTGGGTACAGCTGGCTCTGCCTCTACATAGGCAGAGCCAGCTGTCACTCACGCTGCTGGGCGGATCCAGACATAATTGTCGGGATCTGTTTCAGCTGCGGCTATAGCTCGCGGTATACTGAGCTTAGGGTGACGGGAGGGCGCTAGTTTGTGTCCTCCCGTTACCCTAAGTAGAACTATGGGGGAAAGCCCTAACCCCATAGTTGTCCTTTAATTTCCAGCTTCCAGGTGTTTGTATTAGAGACTAAGTTCATCCTAAACACATTTCAGTTAGTGGTTAACACTGGTGGGCTAAATAACCTGCTGCATTGTGTCTGTAATGGGCTTCAACAGGAAGATCTCCCCACTGTCCATGCCACAGAACCTTGCCTATCTTACTATACTGTCTCTCTGGTAAATTTAAAAAATGTAACAGCTGTAAGAGTTCCCCTCATAGTGGCCACTATGAATGGATGGATCTGGGAACTAACTTGGTGAACTGTTGGCACCAGAGTCCTAGTGAGATGTAATAAGCAATCAACTAAGCAACTCAATAGCCTCTAAATGGAAATATTCATTTTTTTAACCATGTATACATTTCATGTTTTTGACACCATTGTAGTTTAGTACAGGTCAAGTGACCTTCCCCTCTTACACTGTTGGGTGGCCTTAAAGAGTAACTCCAAGATTTGTAAAAAAGAACCCTTGCAGCGGGGCTACCCGTAATGTAAGGGTCTAAGATAAAAAGATATACTCACCTGTTCCACGGTCCTATCTGGCTGCTAGACCTGTCCCTGCAGTCTTTTCTACCCCCGGGCTCTGGCTGTCTTAAGGACCTGTGACATCATCACAGCTAATACAAGTGCATTTAACGTAAAAACACTGAGGGACATTCCACTTCCAGAGCTGTTAGAGACCAGAGAGTCCATTCCCAACATGGGGAGATACCAGCAGTCACCTGACACACGCTGCAGAGAATGGAATTCAGATGTGTGCAGATGTAGGATTAGCTGTTGTGCTTCATCTTGAGACTGACCTTTACCGAAAGAAGACACGGCCAAAGACTTCACTGATTCATACATGCGGCCAGGATCATTAGGGTAGCCAACGAGGGCAGGGAGTGGCATGGAGAAGACCAACCAGGGAGGAGAAGGGTTTTTTGCATAAATGATGCATTAGTGAAATAAGTTAAAGCAGATGTTCCATATTACATTTCTTTTTCAAATCAGACCCTCACCCTCATGTTCCACATTTCCCAGTATTACTTTTCACCCTCTCCTGTGACAGAATAGTTTTTTTCGATTTGTAAATGCCCCTTTGAGATTCCTATCCCAGTCTTTTCGGCTTTCTCACTTAGGTGAGAACAGTGTTGCCCATACGCCTGGGAATGTAAATGTCAGTTTCAGGTCATCCACTGTATAAACATGTATGCTGCATGGAAAAGAGGAAGCAATGCCTAGATTTTCGATAATAAAGGTTTTGTGCTTTTCTTAACGAGCAATTGTCCAATTTATAGATTTCTTAGTGAACATCTTTACAATTTACTTTACAGCAAAGCCCGTAGAAACAGCTCCATTCGAGAATCTGCTTACCATTCCTGGGCAAATCAATGCAGAGTCATCTCCAGAGGCATCTCCTGGCACCAGCCCCATGACACGCTCCGCATCAATTGCTAATCTTCAGACTGCCAGCAAACTGATTCTGAGTTCTAAGCTAGTTTATAGCCAGCTACTGGATATACCAAGTGGTGTGGAGGTGATAAGGGCAACACCCTCAGCAGGTGAGGTTACATTCATTTTCTTTTTATGTGTATTTTTTGTAAAATATTAGAAAGTCGGTTTAAATGTTTGTACTCCGTTAGTTAAAATGTGATAGTCATTTGGTTTTCTGTAATTGTAACTTTGAAGGTGCTATGTCGTTTTTAGGTCATATGCAGGTCATTAAAAGTTAAAGTATAAACGCAAGGACAGAAATGTAATACTTTGCAGCTTACCAGTCGTTAGATGTGGTGGCTGCATTAGTTTAGTGTTCTTTTTTTCAATCTTTATTTACGCAATTTGTATTTGGTAAAACATTTTACCGACTTCACCTATTTTCCCCTTCGTGTAATAGGATTACAAGACACCTCCCTCTCTCCTCTTCTCCATAATATAGGAGGAAGGTGTTTGACAGTACAGAAAGGTGAACTGGGCATGGTTGATGAAGCTGTTTGAGATAACGTTGCAGAGTGCATAGGACAGCACTAGATATCTGAGAGTAATAACAGATTTTTTTTTTGCAATTATGGCACTGCTTTTAATTGCATATTTAATCAATCAATTATAAGAGATGAGTAGTTCATTGTGTGATTACAAACCTTTTAAGGGGCAAGTATTGGAAGTGACTGGAGTATGACAACTACAAACAAGTTGTTCTCGGTGATGACATCTCACGTTTAGTTTAACCATGGATTCTAAATTTTAGAGCAGATTTCAACACAGAACTGTGCAAGTATTTTTTGCCATCTACAAGGTTGAGTAAGGGTTAAACGTTTTTAATTTTGTGTTAGGACGAAATTAAGTTTAGCATTTGAGCGATTAAGTGTTAAATTTAGCTAGATCGTCAAGGAACTTTGGATTTCACTGCTGCCTTTTTTATTCAAATAAGATTCTTTGTTAAGCTTCTGAGCTGGGAATTCTTATGCAGCTGTCCGGGTTGGCTGATCCTCGGCCCCTGTACCTGGACCGCGTCAAGATGAAGAGGTGGGACTGCAGCCGGGCTAAATATAGAAAAAAACTACTCGCCCGACGCCCGAAACTGCCTGTCCCGGGCGTCGGGCGATAGGAATTCCACACCCCTGGACTAGTCTGTAATGTAACCTTTGGTTACTGGGATCTGCTTGTGGTACTCCACATCAATGGTTCGGCCCCACCTGGAGTATGCGGTGCAGTTTTGGGCACCGGTCCAAAGAAAGGATGTCCTTGAACTGGAGAAAGTCCAGCGGAGGGCGACCAAACTCATAAAGGGGGTGGAGGACCAGAACTATGAGACATGGCTACTAAATTTAAACATGTTACGTTGGAAGTAAGGAGATTAAGGGGGGGACATGATTTTCATGTACAAAATGTTCCATAGTCATAGCAACATTAGCAACAAACTCTTTGAGATTAATTCCGTAACAAAGACTAGAGGACACCACCTAAAACTGGTAGAAAAAAAAAAATCGAACACAAGGGGCGAAGGGGGTTCTTCTCAGTTTGCGCGGTTAGGGTCTGGAACTCACTGCCTCAAGCGGTAATTTCTGCAATTAATCTGAAATCATTCAAGAAGCTTTTGGACGACTTCCTGAGAGACCGAAATGTTCAAGGGTACAGGTACTCTTAAGAATGAGAACACTCACGGACCTACACACACCTACACACACACACACACACACACACCAGGTTGGACTTGATGGACTTATGTCTTTATTCAACCTCAAATACTATGTTACTCCCCAGAATGGTCCAGTGTCATGACACAGCCTCTAGTGATCCTGATCCCTAAAGACATCCTTCGGAGTATACCTGCAGTGGAGGGGAAATGCCTGTAATGTGACATGTTCATTGGGTTCTGCATGTGGCATACTTGCTGTGCTTGTTAGCCACAGTATGCTCTCCAGGCCTGTGATTATGTCAAGTCTGGGCATATGAGCATGGCAGCTTATCACTGTTTTCACCACTGCGTCACTCTCTGCATGCTCTCACTCTGCCTTTCCCACCTTTTTACGGTAAAACAGATTCCTGCCACTGCTCTCTGCAAAAGTTACGGGTTTACCTTGATTTGTCCTTGCTGCTGCCCATCAGTGTCAGGGCACCTTGTGGTGTTTAACCTATGCTGTGTCCGCAGTTTGTTATGAGTACTCAAGGAGCCTCTGGTGTGTATTCATTTGCCTTAATTGTACCACAGTATGTTAGATTTTAGGTGCATACCTCCCAGAGCACTTGATGGCTATTGCTTGGGTCATTGTCCCTTGCATGAGTCTACACACCGCTCTGAGTCTTCTCATGCTGCCTCAGGTGTAACTCCCTCCCCCCCTCCGTTTAGGGTGGAGTTATCTTCAGCTATGAAGGATTTTATGAACAAAATAACCGTCATGATAGCTGAACAAAAATCTTGCACCCATAAGCTTACTTTTACACCTAATCTCCTGCAGACTCTGTCTCTGACAGTCCTGGAGCTGCAGCGCAGTCCACTGCAAAAGGCAAGGAGTCTCTATTCTTTTTTGGATGCGTCTGATGCCACACCTGTTACTAGCACCAGCCATGAGCTTATTTTTTGTTTGTTCAGCAGTCTCAGAGCTTTTACAAAAAAGTGATCTAGGCAGCAGTAAAGCACCCCTACTCCCTAACGCATATGCACACATACAAATTCAAACTCTTGTGTAGAGTGCTCACATGTCTGTAAAAAAGGATTGCACAACACATATTGGGTATTGCCACGTACGCCACAGTGGGAGAAATAATTCTAGGTCTTCTTCTTTTTTGGTAAACTCTAAATTGGTGAGCTGTACATCCATCAGATTGCCAGACAGAGAAGTGTGATTCGTCACTCCAGAGAACACCTCCACTTCTCTGGAGTCTAGTGGCGGCATGCTTTACACCACTGCATCCGACGCTTTGCATTGCACTTGGTGATGTAAGGCTTTGGATGCAGCTGCTCGGTCATGGAAACCCATTCCATGAATCTCTCTACGCACTGTTGTTGTGCCAATCTGAAGGCCACACGAAGTTTGGAGGTCTGTAGCTATTGACACTGCAGACAGCTGGCGACTTCTGTGCACTGAGCGCTTCCAGTGGCGCGCCTTACACCGCTGTGCTGACCCCGCTCTGCTTGACTGATTTAGTCAGACAACGCCACAGCCATGACATACATCAGGGAGGAACTCTCTCGCTGCTAAAGGAAAGAAACGGAACAGATTATCTCTTGGGCCGAACTTCATGTTCCAGCCTTCACCACTTGCATGGTGTCATATTGCAGGTGTGGACAAGTGGCAAGCAGATTACCTCAGCCAACAACCTCTTTACTCAGTGGTGTTTCAGTACCAGGGTCTAAGGTGGGGGATGCCTGATGTGGAACTTCTGGTCTTTAGGTTCAACAATAGACTAGACTGGTTGTCTGCAGATGCAGGGATCCACTAGAGAAAGCAATGGATGCCCTGGTGGTTGTTTGGCATCAACACAGCCTTATCTATGCCCTCCCGGCTTTGAATGTCCTTCCTTGACTGCTCTGTAGGTTCGAGATGCAGAGCCCCCATGTGCGTCTTATAGCACCGAACTGGCACTCTGACCTCATCAGACTCCTAACATACACCCCTAGGGGTCTTCCAGATGGTCCAGATCTTCTGCCCCAAGGTTCAATTTACCACCCTGCTTCACATTCACTGGCTTTGACTACATTGCTTTTTGAAGCCCTAGCATTAAGAGATATTGGTCTTTCTGACCCATTCCTATGCTTCTGAAAGCTAGGAAATTCATTTAATGCCAGGTCTACCATCACATGGGGAAAGCTTCTTCTGGGGTGCGGCAATCCCAGAAAATGCTCCATGGGATAGATCTCTGATCTTTTTACAATCCGGCCTGGATTAAGGAACAAAGTTCAGCTCTTGAGATTTTGTTCCAATTGCTTTGCATTTCCTCATCAAGGCTTTTGTAGAAGATGTAGTTCTATCTATACAGCCTCCATTGATTCTATGGGATCTCAGTCTGGTTTTCTCAACTCTTCTAAGACCACTTTTTGAACCTAGAGAGATCAGAGATATCCCTTTTCCATCTCAAAAATGGGCCATCACTTCTGCTAGGCAAGTGTCTGAGTTAGCAGCCTACAAGATGTGCGAGTTCATCCTGGGCACTTCAAACATCTGTTTCTCAGATTTGCTAGGCCCCCTCCTAGTCTTCTGTTGCTGAGCCGCTCGGCCATGATCGGGAGCTGTACAGGCTATTGTGAATAGCCCGTACAGCAGGCTCTCGGTTCGAATTAACCGATGGACTCCCATAACCGAAGCTAGCCGAAGGATCGGCCGAAGCTACGACTAGATCCTTCGGCAGCTTCGTGAATAGACCCCTAAGTTTTACCAGGTTGGGTGTTCAGGCATCTGCGGATGCAAGCTTTGCACATAAGGTCATGCAGGCAGCTCTTTGAGCTGCACGCAACCCCCATTTCTTGGACTGTTAGCATTGTGTTGATATACTGCCCTCCTCTGTTGGACTGCTTTGGGACTGTTCCTTATTTCTACTGATCTTGGGTATCTAGATGAACAAGTAATTTTTTTTTCTGTGTTTGATGTACTCCTGATACTGCTTTTCTGGGGGGAAAAATTGATGCATCATGGGACTGGGAGGGATTATACTGGTCAACATCTTTTTTGCTTGCCAGTGTACAATTCTTTCTTCTACTGTTCTTGTGACCCTTGATGAACTCCAAAAAAAAGGATTTTGCAGTGAGTACAAAAACCTTGTTTCTAGATTTAGGGTTGACAGCTAAGAGTTACTTTTTGACAGGGTAAAGACGAAAGCAAACCTGTTGCTTATTCAGGGTAAAGCCACAGGTTTGCTTTAATCACCTCATCTCTCCAGCATACACTCACCTTTCCTCCTTTCCGCTACCTCTTGGTCAGTTTTGAGGGATGAAGAAAATACTGTGTACTTTCAGGTATGAATAATCAGGTGACTCGCTTTATGTGATAGCAGTGGGCCAATCAGTTATTTTGTGTGACGTCTGCGATCTAGAGTTTAAACAGAAATTTCCTTTGCTTCGATGGCTAAACTGTATGGCAAGAAAGTGAAATGGAGGTAGGTAGATGCTTGTGGGAAGCTCTGAATTAAAGTGAATCTGTTTCATGCCAGTATTGGTAAATTCCAGGAGTAAGGTTATAGTTTAGGGGTCAGTGGAAGAGAATGGTTTGGGTGTGCGGGTCAGCAAAAGGTTGAGATAAAGGGCCGAGGTGTGCAGAGACTTTTTGTTTTGTACAGTTTACAGCATCACCGTCCTGTTGCCAAAACCAACCTGGTGCTGGGCTCTCTGGCCCCTAAAAGCCAAGTATTTTGCAAAATACCCTCAGGAACTGATTGCTCCTTTAAATGATCTCATGTAATATTATAATTTTTTTTTGCAATCTAAAACACATTCTAATCATCTTTTTTTTTTTTTCATCCTAGGTCATCTCAGCTCTTCTTCAATTTACCCAGTGTGCCTTGCCCCGTACTTAGTGGTTTCTACATGTTCCGATAACAAAGTGCGATTTTGGAAATGCAATGTGCAAACATTTCAAGATTGTGAAGGTAGCGAGGAACAGCATAGCTATTGCTGGAAGGAGTGGTCATTGATGAATGAAGGGAGAGAGGAAAGCAGTAGTACCATACCTGTGGCAGGAAAGCCAGTTGCAGTGAGCTGCTCTTATACGGGAAGACTTGCTGTGGCTTACAAGCAGCCTATTCAACATAATGGCTATGTCTCCAAAGAGTTTTCTATGCATGTCTGTCTTTTTGAATGTGAATCCACAGGAGGATCAGAATGGGTCCTAGAACAAACAATTCCACTTGATGATTTATTAAGAGTTGGCAGCATGCTCGACTCCCATGTGAGTGTTGATAGCAATTTGTTTGTGTATTTTAAATCGGATGTATTTTTAAACAAAGACAAGCATCTGGTTCCCAACATCAAGCATTTAGTGCATTTGGATTGGGTTTCAAAGGAGGATGGCTCTCACATACTCACAGTTGGAGTTGGTTCTAATATCTTTATGTATGGGCGACTTTCAGGTATTGTTACTGATCAGACCAACAGCAAGGATGGTATTTCTGTCATCACTTTACCACTAGGTGGTAGTATAAAACAAGGCATAAAATCCAAATGGGTGCTGCTCAGATCAATTGACTTAGTGTCATCTGTAGATGGGACACCTTCACTGCCTGTATCTTTATCCTGGGTTAGAGATGGGATTTTAGTTGTTGGAATGGATTGTGAAATGCATGTATATGCCCAGTGGAAACACAACCTGAAGTCTAGCACTGGTGACATTTTTGTCTCTGAAGACAATGCAGCTCAGTCTGAATCAGTCCAAACACAAGCCATCTCTAAGAAGACCAGCGTGATTGATGGGGCAGCTATTGTGGATGATGTCTTCGGTAGTCCTACTGTGATTCAAGATGGTGGGCTTTTTGAGGCTGCTCATGTGCTTTCTCCAACCCTTCCACAGTATCATCCAACACAGCTGCTAGAACTCATGGACCTAGGAAAAGTTAGAAGAGCAAAAGCCATCCTTTCACATTTAGTCAAATGCATTGCTGGGGAGGTGGCAATCGTTAAAGATTTAGATGCTGGAGATGAAGGGGCTCCAAAACGCCACCTTTCACGGACAATTAGTGTTAGTGGCAGCACTGCTAAGGACATGATTATTACCGGAAAAGATGGAACACGGGACTACACAGAGATTGACTCCATACCTCCGTTACCTCTATATGCACTAGTTGCTGCAGATAACGATACAGCATATTCTGCTCCTGAAGAAACAACAAAAAAGGCCCAGCCCTCAAAGCTTAGATTTGGTAGGAAAGTAGATGACCAGTATTCTGACTTGTTCCAAATGCAGAATGTAACAACAGATGACTTCATTGGCTTTGAAACTGAGAAAAAAGAAAGCAAATCAAAAGTGATCAACCTGTCTCAGTATGGCCCTACTTACTTTGGCCGCGAGCATTCAAGCGTACTCTCAAGCCATCTAATGCACTCTAGCTTGCCTGGCTTGACACGGTTAGAGCAGATGTTCCTAGTGGCTCTCGCTGATACAGTGGCCACAACCAGCACAGAGCTTGGTGAAAGCAGAGATAACAACTATTCAGGTAATAACGGTATTTCACATAATGACCACTATAAATATTGATTCAATGAATGGTCTTGTTGAAGAGAGCAACACATTTTCAAAGATATACAGTGGGGGGAATTTATCAAAACGGGAGCAGATAAAATCTGGAGCAGTGGCCCATGGCAACCAATTAGTTTCTCTCTTCAGTCTGTTCAGTTAAGATTTGAAAATGAAAGAGAGGAGCTGATTGGTTGTCATGCACATCTGCTCCAGATTGTGTTTCTTCCACTTTTGATAAATTCCCCTCAGTATGTTTAGAATTTTACATTTTAACTACATATTGTATTACATAAACAACATGACTCTGCATTAATCCCAACTAGGTGCATGTTCCCTTTGCCCCTTGATAATTAGATTGGTTCTGGTCATTAGCCTTTTTTCATATATATATATATATATATATATATATTCTTCTTTAACGTTTTGGGTACAATTTGCAGTCCTTCTTTCTTTCTTTCACTTCTCACTGATATGAGCAGAGGGAGGCAGATATTTATGACAGAAAATAAAGCAAAGTATCTGTCATCAAATAAATATGGAGGATGCCATTTCTAAAAATGTAGTTGCCTGGCATTTATGCCGACTCACTTGCAATAAGCACCTCTCATCCATAAGGATAAAGTTGTGCTGAGGCTTAGGGCCTCATTTCTCCCTAAGGTGGTCTTTCCCCTCCATCTATATCAGCACATTGTGTTGCCATCTTTGTAAACACCCTTAAGAAATTTCCATGTCCGAATGTAGGTCGGGTAGTTCCACTGCTTTTGAATGTACTGGATTTTTGTCTGGCTTGTAAAATCTATTTCTTGGACTACATCCCAGGACACAGGACCCCTTCCCTTTTGTATTTTGTGATCCACTCTGCAGTTCTTGATACAAAACTGAGGCAGCCTAGAGATGGGAGGGGTAGCATGGCTTTTCTGCAGCTTTGAATAATTTTCCAATCTCCGGAAGGTAGCTGCATAACTCGGTGGTTAAAAAATTCAAGTCCCTATCTCCTGTGATGTACTCCAAGAAGCGGATTTTACAGGTAAGACACAAATCCTTTTTTTCAGAACAAAAGGTTAGCAAAGAAAGCTTTCCTGTGCCTATCATAGCAGCCTTTCTTTAAGCTACACAGCTCTGTCAGGTGAACATTATAATTTGAAGGGAGTTGATGTTTCCAGTTCCCTTTATTGTAACCATCGCCTTTAGTAAAGAGCTGGCCATAGCAAGTGTACAGCACACATGAACGTTCATGTTTGGTTTACATGTTCTCATAAGTGCTCCCATGGCTCACGTGTTGAAAAAGACTGTTGTCCACTAGCATACAGTACATCTGTGTGCTGGTGACTCAAAGTAGACCTGTCAGACACTTATGTAGCCTATAGTTGCAGGCTTAATTCTAAACCATGCCAATTGCCCAGCCATCTCTGGCTCAAATTCACAAGTGTCAGGATTATTTTTTCTTTGTATTTGCTCTCTGTCAGTGATTCAGAAAACATTGACGCCAAAGCATCAGCAAGATAGGCATACAAGTAGAGTTTTAAGAGAGAGAGGTCAGAATTGGTCACCCTACATATTTGTATCATAATTTGGCCTCACCAGGACAAAGTGAACCTGAAAGCACACCCCTGTGGCTCCATCTTTATTTGGGTAGTTGACGCATGATTTAGACCTTGCCCCTCCACATTGCTAAGTCCACCCAAAATCATTCAACTTTCAAATTGGAAGGTCTCTATGCTCACTGAGGTTCTGCCTTTTGCCAGTTCAGTGGGTGGAACCTGGTGTCAGGAAGTGGCAGGGCTTAAAGGAGAACTATGAGGCGAGTGAGCATCACTCAGCCTCATAGTTCTAGCCGACCTGTGACAATGAAACTGTCACAGGTCGGCTCAATAGATCGGGAAGTGAAGCGAACACATACCGTTGCTCGCTCACTTCTCGATCCTGTCCCTTCAGAGAGCTATGACTCACTCACGGCTCCCTGCAGGGATTACCCTCCCCTGTCCGATCCTCCAGCGCTGACTGGCGGAACGGACAGGGGGAGGGGGCGGGTACAGCTGGCTCTGCCTTTAGATAGGCAGAACCAGCTGTCACTCACACAGCTGGGTGGCTCCAGATCCGTCCCGGCTGCAGCGTCTCGGTATACCGCGAGCTGTAGCTCGCGGTATACTAAGCTTTGGGTGACGGGAGGGCGCTAGTCTGTGTCCCCCCGTTACCCTTAGGATAACTATGGAGAAAAGCCCTGACACCATAGTTCTCCTTTAATCTTGTCTTAGGCATAAGCCAAGGCTCCGTGTGCAGCCTAGAACGGAAACCATTATGGAAAAGTTCTGTAATTTCCTGTTTTGCAGACGCAAAAGGAGATGAAGGAAAATCCCCCTTGTTATCATTAAGGAATACAGGGTCAGTTTTCAGAGACCTATGAGTGTAGCTGCCTACAGGAGACACTGGCAAACAACAAAAATAAAAATTGGTCAGCTAGATATAATCCCTCCCACTCCCAGTATGCTTCAATAATTGCTGGTGCCTTTAAGAGGATGAAATTATTTTCTCTTCTGAAAAGTTTTTTTAGCCTTTTATTTTTCTGAGATTTTTTTTCTTCAATCAAGATTTCTCTATTTGCTGCTGAGGGTAGCCTTTTTCTGCAGCAATCCAGATCGACTAATCTTCACTGGACCGAAGATGCAGGGCTTGTCTGGAAAGTGGGTTCTGCACTGGGTTCCACTTGAGGTGCTTTCTGAACCTTGTTCCCCTGTTGGCCACAGAGCGCTTTATAGGTCTAGAGCCATGACAGTGCTGTGTACTGTCTGATGACTCCCTGTGAGTATGCCTATGTAAGGGGCGAAGACCTTTTTGTATGTATCTACTTTTAAGTTCTCTGATATGGCACTTTACATGTCTTGGACACCCTTTGCTGCCAGATGTTTTAGCTGACAGTACTGCATCTGTTGTGCCCTCTGAGCCTTCTGCTGGAGACTCCCTGTCTGACAAGAAGTCTCAAAAACATGCTCCTGAGGAACAGCAGTTAGTTGCCATCACCCCCAAGCTCAAAGATACCATATCATTTTTTTGACTGTGTTCAAAACACTTTCAGAATGAAACAACCCGCTCCCACTTTCCAATTAGGGGTTATATGTTAGCTTTGATGGACACCTGGACATAACGCATCTCTGTTGTGACGTAGTGTCCTTGAGCTACAAGCTTAAGTTTCGTACTGTCCCTCTGCCCCGCTTCATGTTGTCTAATCTGCCTGTGCCTCTGCACAGACTAGCAGAGCTGCACAATATAATTGTAAATTTGTTGACCCCAGGTGTTGTACCAATTGTACTAACAGAAAGTTTTTAGATGTTTTTCTCCAACCTTTTCACTCTTCCAAAGCCAAAGGGAGGCAATCATCCCATTGTGGTCTTGAAAGCATCAAATGACTTCATTAGAGTCCAGAAGGTTTATATGGAAATCCACCTAGTTTATAATAGCCAAATCATGGAGATTTTCTGGTCTCTGTAGACGTCAAGAATGACTACTTCCATATCCCTATCTTTTCACCACACCAATACTACCTGTGCTGTGCTTTAAGTACTCAACATTACCAGTTTATAGCTCGACTATTTCGCCTATTCTGAGCACTCTGAGTGTTCACCAAAGTTATAGTCTCTGCATTAGCCTTGTTACATTATCAGGACATCCCTCTGATGGAATATCTTGATGACCTCCTCTTGAGAGAACAGTCAACTCCACTCCTGACCGACAATGTCCTTTTGGACAGTCCATACATTAGAGCACTTTGAATGAATCCTGAACTTAAAAAAAATCAGTGATGGAACCACCTCCCCTGACTGCAGTATCTTTGTCTCATCCTTGATGCAGCTTAGGCCAAAGTTTTTCTTCAGATGCAGTTATCCCCACATTAAAAGCTAGGAAATCTACATCCATCAAAGACTACCACACTTCTACCACACCACCAGACTTCACACATTGAAGGCTTACTTTGCTTGGTGTGAGGCAAAGAAATATCCCTCCCAGGAAATACTCCGTGGGACAAACCCTGTCCTTTAGGCAAACAGGCTTGGAACGCCATTTGGCCCATGGTGCCATCAATGGACAAATCCCAGCGCTTGCAATCTTATTGCAAAGATTGCTTGCCTCCTATTCATTGAGTAAACATTTTTCTCATGTGGTTTCTTCTGTATAAACTCTTGTGACTTAGTGGGATTTGATTCTGCTTCTTTTTGTGCCTCAAAAACCGCCTTTTGAATTGATCAGGAATATTCCACTATCCACTCTTACTCACAAGGTTGCTTTACTTGGTGCCATTGCATCTGTGACACATGAGTCTCAGCTAGCAGCCTTGTCGTGTAGAGAACCCTTTCTTGTCCTTTACAAGGATAGACTTTAGGGTCTCCTTCCCAAGGTGGTTTTGGCTTTTCACCTCAACGAAGACATTGGTCTGCCTTCTTTGTCCAGCTTTAGTACATTCATCCTCATCTGATGCCAGCTTTGAGTATAAGGTTCTTTAGGCAGCTCTTTGAGCTGCAAGCTGCCCCTTTTCTACTTTTTTTTATGTGGGCCTTTTGTTGTTTTCCTTTTATCCCCTCCTTAGTTGGACTGCTTTTGGACATCCCATGAACTCAAAGAAACGGATTATACGTTAAGTATAAGAATGCCCTTTTAATTATCACTGGGCTATGTGTTGCCATTAGAAGATTTCCCTTCTTCTCCTGCTTCGTTGACATCTGTAAAATTTTGGATTTGCCATCCCTTGGTTTCTCAGTGACAATTGTCACCAGGAAAAATTTGGTAAATCTTAGATATACATTAACAACAAAAAACGGAAAAAAAAAGTTTTGGCTTAGATATACATTAACAACAAAACGGTAGTTTTGTCAGATTTAAAGTGTTTGCAAAGTGAATTTAGACAGAATCCTCTTTTTCTTATACGGGGGCAAAGGCCATTGGTAAATGGTATCAACCAGCAGCAGGTTATTAGTATAATGTCATGAGTTGTCTAGAAACTGAAACTGGATTAGCAATGGTAGGTCATAGCACTAGATTGCTGCCTTCCTTTTACCTTGTTTTTAAATAGAAGTTTCAGTTATTAATTGATATAACTTTGTCTAAATCTTTGCTTGCAGGAGGCGACAATCTTGATGAGTGTGGCTTGAGATACTTGTTAGCCATGCGACTGCACACATGTCTTCTAACATCCCTGCCTCCACTGTATCGTATGCAGCTGCTTCATCAAGGTGCTTATTTTCACTCCTTATTTAGCACATTTTAATACCAGAATAATGTTCATGATGATTAACTGAGCATGCTCAAATACAGACATGTGCCTCTTAAGTAACAAGCAGGAAGGACATCTATAAGTCATTGTCCTGATTATCTAAATGGAACAACTGCTTTCACTTTTATGTAGATTCTGGTGACACTAAGCTCAAGGGCTTTCCAGCAGTAGGATTGTTCCCTATTGTTTCAGAAAAACGGTAAAGGTTGCATATCAGCCATATACTGTATACTATACAACCAGTAGATTGTTTATACCAGCCGCTTCCTGTTGTTTTTGCTTTAAGGGAAATTTGTTCTTGAATGTTAATGTGTTTGGCCACCGTAAGAGCTAAACTCTAGTGGTTCATTAAACATTTCTCCAACAATTGTGTTGATGTTTTAGGGTTATCTACATGTCACTTTGCATGGGCCTTTCACTCGGAGGCAGAAGAAGAATTAATCACTATGATTCCAGCCATTCAGAAAGGTGACCCACAGTGGTCTGAGCTTAGAGCGATGGGAATTGGTTGGTGGGTGAGGAATATAAACACACTCCGCAGATGCATAGAAAAGGTAGGCATCTCTTTATCATTTAAGGTAAACCCTGTTTTGTTGTTGTATATAATTTTGTAAAAAGGTGTCCTAATCCCTAAATTGCCACCGTTTAAGGTGGCCATACACTCTACAACCATCGCAAGACTTTAGTCTTGCGATGGTTGTAAAGGGATTAAAAAAACGTACGATCTGCCTATCTTGGACAGGCAGATCGCACTCTCGATCATCGCAAGCCCGCCCCCCTGAGGGGCGGGCTTCCGATGACCGCAATGCTGAACGGGCAGTGTGCGCGTGCGCACTCCGGCCCGTTCAGCATTTATCTTCCGAGCACCGTTCTAACCAGCCGAGAATCGTACGATTCCCGGCTGGTTTTCGAACATGCTGGTTCGACAGAAGACGTGCGACCGTACAGTAGAAACGGTCGCACGTCTCCGTTCACGCTGCTCGATTATCGTATGAAAAACCGATCGCATACGATTATCGTACGATAATCGTGCAGTGTATGGGCACCTTTAGAGCAGTTGCTTTCAAAGACCATCAGTGTGGCCACTGTTATGTGCTGGATGGTTTGCATCCAACAGCTGTAACATATTCTTCCACTGATTCTGGTTAGTGGACCAAGGTCAGATGTTGCATTTGCTGCTATGACTTCTTCAGTTGTCCTATTAGTCAGTGATAACACTAGTAAGCAAAGTGTATGCCGCAAGTGAGTTCCAGGTGCCTTCATCTGGACTAAACGATTGGTGTGTAAGCCTAACTGCGGAGGTGGGACTTTGTCAAGAATGGGTGATTGGGAAATATCAATGAGAGTGGACAGGGATAATGATTGTGTATTAGAAAATATGGAAAAAGCAACTGGGAGGTTACAAAAAGTGGCTGGGCTGAGTAACAAAGTCAGTTGTCCTAAAACAAGATCATTTTGGTACTGTGTATGGCAGTGGTGGTAGACGGAGCACACAGCTCTTAGGGAGGAGCACCTAAAGCAGGGGTGCCCACAATTTTTCGTCTGGAGATCTACTTTTCAACTGACGCGCTCAATGAGATCTACCAGTGAAAAAACACCATTATTTAGAAAACAAGCTGGGACTACTGCCTCTCTCATGCTCTCTCTCTCTGGGCCGGTTCACACCACAAAGTCAGCGTTCCAGAGCGTTCGGCCTCTTGAACGCTAGCCGGCTGGCTCCCTGCGTTGAGGGGAGGGAGGGGGCGTGGTGGTGCCGTGCAATCGCCTGCACCCGGGAACGTAGGCACATTAATTAGTGCTTGCGCTCCGGTCCAGTGCAATCTGTAAAAATGCTACAAGCACTATTTTTGCAGATCTCACTGGACCGGAACACAGTCACTAACGTGCCTGTGTCCCGGGTGCGGGTGATGGCGTGGCTGCGGTGCCATTGACTTCAATGCACTGCCACGCCACCTCTTGCCCCTGAACGCAGGGACCTGGCCTGGTTGCGTTCCAGAGGCCAAAAGCTCTGGAATGCAGACTTTGTGGTGTGAAACGGCCCTCTCTCTTGGCTGTCTCTTTTCTCTCTCTCTCTCCTAGGTCTCTGCTGTTTCTTCTCTCTTTGCTGTCTCTCTCCTAGCCCTCTGCGGTCTCTTCTCTCTCTGCTGTCTCTCTTCTCTTTCTGCTGTCTCTCTTCTCTTTCTGCTGTCTCTCTTCTCTCTCTCTGTCTCTCTCTCTCTTCTGGCTGTCTTTTCTGACCTGCACTCCAGCAGCTTTCTGGGTCTCCTCTGAGGCGCAGTGTCCTGTCCCTCCCGCTTTGCGGTGCTCGTGTGACCAAATGTTCAGACTGGGAGAGGTGTCCCGCCCCCTCCTGCAGCTTCTGATTAATTCAGCCGCACGAGCACTGCGGGATGACAGGACACAGGTCAGTGAGCCGATCGCAATCTACCTGTGTTCGCTTTGCGATTGACTGGTAGATCACGATCGACCTAATGGGTACCCCTGATCTAAAGCATGCTCATTGTTTTTACTTTTAGCTGGAGATTACTTTGTATTAATTATGAAATATATATATGTACTTTTAAACAGTCATGATTATTTCTGAATCTGTTCGGGAAGTGCTTATTTTAGCAATTAGTGTTGGAGAATGTAGTTGTTGTAATAATAAACTTGCATTTTGTTTTAAAACAGGTTGCTAAAGCAGCTTTCCAAAGAAACAATGACCCGTTAGATGCTGCGATTTTCTACCTTGCAATGAAGAAGAAAGCGGTTCTCTGGGGCTTATTCAGGTAAGTGCAGAGTATGTAATGTCCTATGACGTGTACAGAATACAGTCCCAGCATGTCAGTCGCCCAGAATGATCCCTTTTGTTGCTCTGAATCTATTTATGTTAGTGGTAGATGGGAAGCTTGAGCGCAGTTCATTGTGGGTCATGACCATTGAGAAACTTGCCTTCCCTGCTTTGCCTGAGCAAAAGTATGGACAGCTGACTATTGGCAAAAATATCTATTACTGTAGCTAGTTAGAAGAGGTTATAGAGAAATATGAGGTGTTGATCAGGTACGGTTGCAAGGCTGTAGAAAAAATAGCAAGCAAATATACATTTACAGCTTAACTAAATATGATCTAGTTGCTTCCCTGTATTGTTTGAAAACAGTATTTCAACTGAAATTTTAAGATCTCTTTGCATCCAGTTTAGTTTATAATATTTTTAAACTGAGATTGTTATTTTTAGGTCACAGCATGATGAGAAGATGACTCAATTCTTCAGTCGTAATTTTAAGGAGGATCGCTGGAGGAAAGCAGCTCTAAAGAATGCCTTCTCGCTACAAGGCAAGCAGCGATTTGAACAGTCTGCAGCTTTCTTTTTACTAGCTGGATCTCTAAAGGATGCTATTGAGGTATAAAGAAATCCCATTTTATTTGTATTTTTTTTCTTTGTGTGGAACAAACTCGCAATCATGTAAGTTAATGATACTTAAAAGACTTAAATGTTTTTTTTTTAGGTGTGCTTAGAAAAAATGGAAGACATTCAGCTAGCAATGGTTATTGCCAGACTATACGAGTCAGAGATTGATACCTCTTCTACATACGAGTCTCTTCTATACGAGAGAGTACTGGGATGCCAGAAAGATGGATCTGGGTTCTGCTGTACCAAGCTTTATCCTGATCCGTTCCTGAGGAGCATTGCCTATTGGATTATGAAGGACTATACTAAGGCCCTGGACACTTTACTAGAGCAAACACCTAAAGAGGATGATGAAAACCCTGGTGGGTATATTTTCGTTAAATTCGTGTTTTGTCTTTTTGTGCTGAATTTTCCATTTCCCATGTTGCTATTTGCTAAATAATATGCATAGTATTGCTTACTTTATAATAAGAGAGTTTTCACCTTCAGCTACAAGGGTGACATCAACTTCTTTTGTGGCCAGTAGATTTTCAGTAGGGTCACCTTGTTCAGATCTTCACTGAGCAGCTATTTGCATAATTGGAAATTGCTTCTTTGAGGCTTATAGAGAACTTGAAGCTAATAAGACTTTTTACCACGATGCAGCATCAGGTCTGGAAACCATTAACCGCAGCTTTGTCACATGGCTGACTTTGGGCTTTTGGGTTAAACCAAAATTTAGGCAACTAACAGTAATGCTGCATAGTAGCAGCAAATAATGCATGAGTGTACCTGCAAACATTACTGTAAACCTTTTCTGTGCCAGTGGCTTGCAAGATATGCCTAGAGTAGGCACACCCCTCCCCATCCCACAATGCAGTGCTAGGTGACTGAGTGATGTAATGATAGATCCTAGTGCTGTTGTGATGTGGAAGTAGTGTTTGATTTGTAATCCTGGGTCAGTATTGACTTTTAGAAAGTCTATATTTGCATAGGGTTTTTAGGAAGGCACACTGAAGAGGTTTACAGTATCATTACAGGTACACGTAATCATTTTGGTACACTTTGTACAATGCAGCATCACTATTATTTGGTGTCAATACTTCTTGTGGATAAACACTTCTTTTTCAATAAAGCTCTCTGAATTTGGCTGCATGCATGCATGCAAGTGAGAACCCGTGAACCCTTAAGTGACACTGCTTCAGAAAATGTTTTCATTCCCCGGGACCAGAGCAATTTTGCCATTTTTACTATGTGTTTGTTTAACCATAATTTCAAATTTTCCTCATTCTTTGCACCTACACATATTATAGACTGTTTTTTACAGCTTGCTGCTAAACTCTCAGGTGTGAACAGATGCCATAGAAATGAATAGGAATTCTTGTGTTGAGTTTTGACGCTTAAGCTTTAAGGCCTTGTTCACACCAAGCGCATTCCAGGAGCAGAGCAGCTACAGACCGGAGCAAAACTGCGTCCAATGTATTTCAATGGTACTTTTAGCTCCAGTTCACATCGCAGCGTTCTGTTCCAGAGCAGGTAAAAAAACTGCAGCAAGCCCTATTTTACCTTCTCTGGAATGCATGCAAACGCATCAAAAATGCATGCAACTGCCCTGGAACGCACTGAAAGCCCTTTTCATCTTTTTTTTAAATAGTTTTTTTTTACCAAAAACGGCCCAGAACGCATCAAAAACGCGGCAAAACCCACTGCACTGCGTGTGCAGAAACTCATGGAGATCTGCTCTGCATTTGGTGTGAACAAGGCCTCAACGTCAAAGCGCCCAGGTGTGAACAGGGACTAAGTGAGTTTCTCCTTTTGGCAACAGAAAGTGAAAAGCCTTTCTTCAGTGTGCTCTGCGTTCTGTATTGTAGCAACTGCCTTGTGAGTGAACTAGTCATAATCCAAATCATTTGTGTTTTTTCTTTTTCTTTTTCTTCTCTTTTGTTCTAATAGTGCTCATTAAATCGTGCAACCCAGTTGTGTTCAGTTTTTACAACTACCTTCGGACTCATCCTCTGCTAATGCGCCGGCATTTCAATACCCCGGAAACTACTTTTGTGACCGTTGGTTTGAAAACTGAAAAAAAGTATGTGGATGAAATAAATCTTATTGAAAGGAAATTATTTTTTACCACTGCTAACGCTCATTTCAAAGTGGGGTGCCCCGTGCTTGCTTTAGAAGTGCTCTCCAAGATCCCAAAACTCAGCAAATCAACAGCTAACAATGAAGATCTGTTAAGTTTAGATTCCGTTGGACAGGATAGTTTACATTTAATAGGCAAAGTGAACAATTTGGAAGAGGTAACCGAACCAGATTGGTTCGCTTCAGCAGCAGCAGCAAAACACTCTCCAGCTGATTTTGATTGGGGTTTACCCCTGGTGAAAATTGAGGATGAGCCTCTTCAGCTGGAATGGGAAGAAGAAAAAGGGAGTGATGAAGACGATGAGGGATTAGTTTTAAAGAATTTGAACTTGGAGCACAAGAGTCAAAGTCTAAAAGATGTCAGTTCAGAAACACCAACAGTCGACAATGCAGCACCAGCTGGAAGTGAACCGGATGTGATTGCTGAACAGCTGAAATTTCGAGCATGCCTAAAAATACTTATGACTGAGCTAAGAACGCTGGCGACAGGGCATGAAGTAGATGGTGGAAAGTTGAGGTTTCAGCTGTATAACTGGCTGGAGAAGGAAATTGCCGCAATGCACAAAATATTTAACCATGAAACTGACCGCAAGGATTTCACCATTGAAACTCCACCTTCAATAGATATATTGGATAGCCAAGAAATATCTGATAAGACAGATATTGGATCTTATGAACGTCACCAAATAGAACGTCGCAGATTACAAGCGAAGAGGGAACATGCGGAAAAGCGCAAATGGTGGCTGCAAAAGAACCAAGCTCTTTTACGAGTATTTCTAAGCTACTGCAGTTTACATGGTGCACAAGGTGGTGGCTTGGCCTCTGTAAGAATGGAGCTAAAATTTCTATTGCAAGAGTCTCAGCAGGTAAGAAGTTCCCGTGTTTTGGTAGAATCGGTAAATTAGCTTAACTGAGCCCATTTCATTTAAACTTGTGCTTCTCTGTGGTCTGATGTGTAACTATTGTGTGTTCTCCTGCAATACATTATGCAGTATAGAGCAGGTTAGCCTGGTGCGAGAAGCCACTTTCAACTGTGGAGGAAACTAGTAGTCCCAAAATGCTGTATTCCCCAGTGGGCAGGGAATTCTTAGCTGTGAGTAAACCAAAATCAAAAGAGCCCAAGGCTTAACTCGATAGAACTCAAGAGGGTGATGAAGAATGATTTCTGTATATCTGTTGCACCGTTGAAAGAATGTGTACTAGTTAGGGTGACATATGATCAAAATTCATTGACTTTGGGAAGAATGTAGTGCTGAGTGTTACTTTTATTAGAAGTATAGCAACTCTTAATTTTTATAAACTTGCATACCAGATGTTTGCATAATCATTACCCTACTTTCATACTGGGAGTTCCTTAAAGCAGAACTCCATACAAAACTTTTTTTTTTTCCTTACCAGCGTAACCAGTAGGTGAGCAAAGCCCCTCCAGTGGAATGGTAATGGTGCTGTCTGTGCTCCCATTGTGGAGATCTAATCCCTTTCTGTTTGGTTACCAGGACAGAAATTAAGGGAAAATGCCCTCAACAGTGATAAAAAGACAGTCGCAATCCTCTCTCCCCTCTATCAAATCCCAAAAATATGTGTTGGCTGGAGTTCGGCTTTAAAATGTGTGGAAAGGCAAAACGTTTTTTTTCAAATTTTGGATAGAGTGGTAAGAAGTTAGAACCTCTGTCAGATTTTTATTGCTGTCTGTGTAGTTTCTGGGGAGCTTCTATTTTTCCTGGTGACCATTGTCACTTGGGTTAAGTAAAAGCAATCCAAAATTTGTTACCAGAATGGAAATAGAGGGGAAATTTGTTAATGGTGAGATGTGTTTGGTGACAACTGTCCATGGGGGGATTTACCTTTTTCTGAAAGATTTCCTCTCACTACCTGTTATATCTTCAGGATGGCAACAAAAAACGTGACAGAGGATTTAACAATTTCCTACTCTAGCCAAGTAGCCAAGTGAAAAAAATGTTTTTGGTATGTCCTGACCACTTCAGACCGGAAACATCCCACAGGAGCTGTAGTTTTGGAGTTGCTCTGACCCAGTCGTCCAGCCATCACAACTTGTCCCTTGTCAGTCGCACAAATCCTTAGGCCTCATTCACACAGGGTAGAGTGGGGCCACACAGACCCGTGCAGCGTGTGAGGCCATATCGGGCTGTTCCCGGGAAGGACAGGTCCTGCGTGTGATTGTACGCATCAGCCTGTTATTCCCTATGGGAGGACGCGGTCGTATGCTCAGCGAGCTGCACAACCGTGCGGGTGTCTGTGCTCGGATGCACACAGTATCCATCCTGTCTGCGTCCAAATACGGACACCCGCGCGGATGTGCAGCTCACTGAGCATACGACCGCGGCCTCCCTTAGGGAAGAACAGGCTGGTGCGTACAATCGCACGCAGCACCTGTCCTTCTGGGGTAACGGCCCGATACGGCCGTGCACACCGCACGGATCTGTACGGCCACACTCTACGGTGTGTGAATGAGGCCTAAGGGCCTGTTCACACAACGTCCGTTTTCTGTGCTGACCTGATCCGTACGCTCCTGCACTAAAAATGCATCCCAATGTATCCCTATGTGTTTTATGGGCTCCAGTTCTCACGTGCACAGTCCGTTCAGGTTACAACAGAAAAATACTGCATGTCACATTTTAAACGGTCCGGAAACGCAAAACGCGTCAAACGCACTGCACTGTAGCTAACGTACTGACAGCCCCACTCCAGCAAAAAAAAACGCATCAAACATGCGGCAAAAACACATAGCACCGTCTCTGCAGATCCGCACCTGATCCGCACCTGAAACTCATGTGAACAGGCCCTTAGGCTTGCCCATTTTTTCTGTTTCCAACGCATCCAGATCAGGGACAAAATGCTCCCTTGTTGCCTAATATATCTCACCCACTTCCAGGTGCCACTGTAATGAGATAATCAATGTTATTTTCTTCACCTGTCAGTGATCATAATGTTGTGGCTGATCAGTGTATATCCATGCACTTCAGTTTGATGTTCAGTTTTAGCGCTCCTCAGCAGAACAGTGAACATAGCAAAGTGGAGAACTATTTCAGTAGATTGCCAGTAGCACATGCTGTTATTTTGTATATAATATTGGTTGCCATAGTTCCCTCACTTCTCTGTATATTTTAATTATTTTGCTATCCTATTTACCAAATAACCGGTGTCCTAGAACATTTTATTTTGCCGGTTATGTATGACTACATTTAATCTGCAGATGACCCAGTTAGCAACATTGTTACTGTGCTCTGCTCTTTAAATTTCCTATTCAATTTTCTCAAAAGAAGAGGGGTGACTGAGTCTACAGCAAAGCACTTGTAAGTCTTTCATCCATTTCATATCCCAAATGTGTCCCAAAAAAGAGGACAGTTTAATGAGCTGGGCTTTTATTTTTTAGAAATGAGAAGCATGTCTATGGTACTTAAACTAATGAGTTTTACATGAAAATGAAGTATATTGGGTTTGACCTAACAAATACATAAATGCTGCAAATTTTACAGCCTTAGTTTATGATTACTTATTTTTTTGTTTTTATTTTGGCTAAGGTTGTTTTATAAGAGAATAATCACAGTGCTTCTCTGTTAAGTATGCATACCAACCATCATTTTATTTTAGTTGTTAGCTGCAAAACAGTTTGAGGTGTTCCAACTTGGGCAAATTCTCCTAAAATGTAGGAGCCGGCTATAAAGTTGTTATTTTGATCATACATCACAGGACACAGGAAGTCAATTCTGAAATCAATGAGTTATGCAGCTACCTTCAGGTGATTAGTCACTGGCAAATCAAAGCTGTGAGGACAGCCCTATATAACCCCTCCCATTCCCAGTCTCCCAGTTTTTTCCTAGTGTCCTTAGTTAAATGGAAGCTGCGGTTTCCTTCTGTGAGTGGATTCCTGGTTCTTGCTTCCGGGGGGCCCTCGTGAGGGCCTGGCCGTGTCGGCGGCTACCATTCTTGGTGGATCATGATGTTGCGGTTCAGGCGTACGCCGTTAAGGGGCGTGAGCCTACGTCTTCCTGTCACTGCCCCTTTTTTACTAGGGCTGTTGGGGCATCTTGGGCCTTCCGCCATGGTGCCTCTGTTTCTCAGGTTGTAAGGCCGCTACTTGGTCTTCAATCCACGCCTTGGTTTGATTTTATTGGGTGGATGTTTTCGGCATCGGCGGATGCTGGGTTGGGGCGCAAAGTGTTGCAGCCGGCTCCTTGTGGGGTCTTTTGGGTTTTTTTTGGTTGTTTTGCCCATCCCTCAGTGTGTTTACTGCTTGGTGACGTCCCTACCATACAGGATCTACGATCTGTTGCCCTGTGTCCTTCAATGAACGGGAGAGAAAATAGGATTTTTGTACTCACCGTAAAATCCTTTTCTCTCCGTTCATTGAAGGACACAGGTCCCGCCCTCTATATTGGGTGTGTACTCCTTTACTGCTTGTTACTAACTGGAGACTTGTCAGCAGGTGGGGGGTTTGGCCACCGGCAGGGGCCGCCCCTAGGCTGTAATTGGTCTTTAGTTTTGTGCCTAGCGTCCTTCTCCTGCAGGTGGCGATATTACCCTACCATACAGGATCTACGATCTGTTGCCCTGTGTCCTTCAATGAACGGAGAGAAAAGGATTTTACGGTGAGTACAAAAATCCTATTTTTCTGCGCTTTTTTTCTACTATCAAGACTCTTCTAGCAAGTTTCCCTAAGCTGCTTACAGCTACTGCGGCATCTCTCAGCAGCGTTCTTTTTTTCCCCCCTCAGCTGTGCTTTGGTGGAACGTACCCAGATCTTGCTAGATGGAAGATAAGGTGTTGGCCTATAATGAGCTCAGTGCACTGGATCCTATATGGGGCATTCACCTTGGCAATTAGTGCAGCATGTGAAGTAGCTGCAGGGTGCTATACTGATCCAGGGCTGTTGTCCATGCACCAGTGGAGCCCAGTCTTTGAAGATCCCCTTAGGAGACTATGGCCCCCAAGCGGGCAAAGATTTGGATGGCATGTCCCTTTTAAAATAGCCCTTGCCTCCTCCCAGGGAGGACCTGCCCAGCCAGGCATTCAGCGCAGTGACTAGTCCAATAGGGGTAAACTCTGGGAATATGGCTAAAATTACAGCATTTTTATTTGAAATTGGAAAGCCTAGGTGAGCGCTCCTGCACAGCATCCTTCTGAAAGCCCATACTGCCACATCCTGGCATGCAACTCTTCAGAGGCACAGTACAGCAACATACGGCATCTAGCGCACTGGTCACTTCTGCGTACGTTGTCTGGCCATAAGATGCAGCCTGCAGGCCGAGAGTACTTTTGGGGCTTATCTTCAGCACATGGCAGTTCATAGCCGAGGGAGCATGAGGTCTGCGGTCTCTGTGGTTCACATGCCGACAACAGTTCAGGTATATTCTGTTACCTCTGATGAATACTGCCCTTGTCAGCCTGATGCTTGGCTCTATGTCTGTGTCTCTATCTTCCCCAGCTACCCTCTTCCTCATACCTCTTCGAGGATTGAGACCACAGGTTGCAAGTGGGCCCTCTCACTTTCCTCCTCAGAGTCTACCTCTGACCTTCCTCTGTCTGCCTTTGCACTCCCTGAGGAAGATACATTGAAGGGGCTGTTTTCAGTTCTGTGGACCTGTCTCCTGACATCACTCCTAAATATTAGGATGCTATTTCTGTCCTTTTGAACTTAGAATTATTTCCCTTTTACACTGGTTCTTACAGCCTGCATTATATGGTGACTGGGATAATCCTGGGAAATTGTTCACTGCTCCCATTTTTTCATTATCCTTTTTGAAGCGAGTTTTTTTTTTTTTTTGAGATCTGGTCTGTCTCTGTGTTGGACGTAGCGGTTTCTTACGTTGACGGTCCCTTTGGTTGAGGTCTCTATTTTCAAGAATTATGGCTTTTTTCGAACAGGACTAGCAAGGGGGGATGATTTCCTGATGCTGTATGGCAGGAAAGGGACCGCAGAGCACATACGCTCAGTCCCACAGTGTTAACGCCTTCCACAGCAAAACCGGCATGAACAGGTATTAACGACGCCCAGCCACCTATGTCATTAAGGTATCTCCCAGTTCTTGACTCAGCCAGTCTATTCACTAAGCAAGTCTTCAGAGACAGGGCTCTCAACCTCAAAAGCACTCTGCAGATGACTTTTACCAAAACAGAGTCTGGATAGTGTCCTGTGAGGAGCCCAATGCCTTAGGTCACTTTAGGTTATCCCAGTAACATCCTGTCCAGTGGGGTCTGGACGCAGTACTCCAAAAGCCAAACTGAGGATGACCATGCTGGAAACCTGTAATCGAAATACTGAATGTAGAGAAGAGTTTTTTAACTGAAGGAACAAATCGAAGACAAAAAATTCTATCAAAATAAGTTAGTCTTAACACGTCGATCCTCCTAGGATACTAGAGGAAAAAAACAGACAGTCTGGTAGTGACAAGGGTTACCTGGGCTGCCCTACAGTTTTTTATTTTTTTGTTTGCCAGTGTACAGTCTTGTAGGTAGCAGTATAACCTGAGGGTTAAGACTTCCGGTGTCCCTCAATGGATGAGAAAGAAAAAGTTTGCAAAATTTTGACCAGAAAAGGGCAACCATTTAATTGGCAATGTATAATTTGCCGATTTTATATGAAAAGACTGCTGGCATTAAAATCAAGTCTGGGTCATGTATGCCTTGGGGATTAGTTGCAGGATAAAGAAGGCTTTGAAGATTTGCAGTGTGGCACTAGGTAGGCAACACAGTGAAGATCTCCAGGTGAGGGAGATGTAAAAGTGGACTTATTTTTTTATACAGCACTCCAGCTAAATAGGAACAGACACAAAGATGTACATCAAGCATGTAAAGGTGAGGAAGTGGTACTCTGAAGTGTGGAATGGGAGAGTCCTCCCTGCAGACAGAGTGCAGCATCTCACAAACAAAACTTACCATTTCAGGTGAACTTGCTGCAAACATAATGAAAGATGGTGGCTTCCACTACTGACCTCCTAGAAATGATAGTTGCCTGGCCTGTCAGGATGATCCAGTGGCTTAAATACCTTCTAGGGAACAGATTTGGAACAAGCATGCATATTAACATTACCAACATCATTCTGACTTTCCTGTTCTGCATACTTGTTCCAAGCCGGGAAATCAAAATATTGAATTCGGAGACAGCCAGGCAACTAGTATTTTCATGTGGAGGTCAACAATAGCAGCCTCCATATTTCTCTCAGTGCAGGTTTTCCTTAAATAAATGTATGATAGATTCAGCCAGTAATGTTTGCAGGCTTCTGTCAAGCTGAAATTAGGTGGGATCCTCAGGCTGCTTCATTTGGCTATTAGTCTTGGATACTTTAGGGGACCTATTGGCTGTCAGCATGCAGTCTTCTTTCTCCTTTGCTTAGATCCTTCCTCATTCTGCCCAATTCTATTAATCAGTGCTTTTTAGGGGGTGTGGGGAATGCAGAAAATTGAGAAATATGAGCACAGTGATTGACCCATGATTATTTGGGCTAATTAGCAGTTACGGGACTTGTGTAATATGCACATAAAAGTTAAAACATGACTTTTGCAAACAAGAATCTCTTTTTTTTTTTTTCTTTACTTACAGGAAACAACTGTAAAGCAACTTCAGTCGCCTCTCCCGCTGCCTACAACCCTTCCATTACTATCTGCCAGCATTGCTGTGACAAAGACTGTGATAGCTAACCCTGTGCTCTACCTGAATAATCATATTCATGATATTCTGTATACCATTGTTCAGATGAAGAATGTTCCACATCCTGACAACCAAGATCCAAAGGTAAGTGGACACTTTACGTAGATCACACAGTGTTAAAGGCAAGTCAGTTCTTTGACTGCCATCAATGTTTTAAGTGTCAAAAGATTTGCAGGAGCCAACTTGTCCTTAAATGGATACATATAATATTTCCGTTCATACATTCAGTGACGGCATCCGGCTCGGCTATTCTGCTTGGTACCTCCGTGGCAATAAAAAACGGGGGGAAAAGTAGAAAACAAGTGGGCGGAGCTAACAGTGACAGCTGAACTGTCATTGCAACTGTCATTGCAGCGCTGAACTGTCATTGCAACTGGCCGGAGCCCGCTGTGAGATCATGGCTGGCTCCGCCCAGCTGTCAGTTGCGAGGCTTTCGGCCCGCCTTGGGTTTCACCTCGACTGAAGCATATGCCCTGGGCTCGACTGGGCCGCCCGGCCGGGTTCTACTGAACCGAAGGGCTCCGGCGGCCGAAGCTAGCTTTGTGAATAACCCTGATAGTGTTACTAGTTTTATTTTGCTAAAAATATATGCTATTCCAATTCTCTAAAGTCTCAATAAAGTCTAATAACATGAACACTAAGACCCCATTCACACTGAGCGACATGGAAATCGCGCGACTTCGAGCGATATTGCGTGACGAGCGACATCGCGCGACTTCTTCCTATTGGGCTGTATGCAATCAGGAGCAATATCGCTCAAAATTGCTCTAAAAAAGGGTCATGTAGGAGCGACGAGCTACAAGCGATATTGAGCGACGAGATGTGAACAGCTACATTGAAATGTATTGGTGAAGCTACATAGAGCGATGTAGCGCGGAAATATGAGCGATATCGCTGCAAAAATCGCGCGATAAATCGCTCAATGTGAACGGGGCCTTAAGATGATTCTTAGGTAGATAACGTTTTGCTGGAAATAATTCTGTATATTCTTGAATATTGTAAGTCAAGCTGCCAAGTCTTAATATGTCTGGTTAGTTTTGGTCTCTATTGAATGAAAGATGAGTATGTTATATGCTAGAGGGCATGATGTCAAGAATTCTCTTCAAATTTCGTAGGTAATGTATTTGTTTCATTGAAAGAAAACCTTCTACTGGGACAAACATGGGAGCTGCATTTACTGAACTCCTAAAAATATTATTTGCCTGGCTGCCTGTGGCTTCTATACTTTTTATGATGTGGTGCAAGCATACGGATTCAAAAGTCTGTTAAAATGCAGAACTCACAATCTTTACACTCAAGAAACTGAATTGCCATGGCAACAGATCAACTAGCATTTTCAGTAGGAGAGATCAGCAATGGCAGCATCCATGTCTTCTCATTACTGGTTTCCTTCCAGAAGGCTTACATTAATATTCATAAAACAATGAGTTCAAATAGTCAAATGCTGTATCTGCCTTGCAGACATTTTGTACAGAACAGAGTCTCATCTGAATTTGAAAACATTTTTCTTCTAGGTCGCCACGCTTCACTTGCTGGCTGCTTCACTCTCTGCATCTATATACCAAGCACTCTGTGACAGCCACAGCTATAGGTAAAAGCACATTTTTCTGCTTGTCCTGTTCTAGCTATTTAATCACTTCAAGTTTGGTAGGTTTCCCTTTTTTTCTTTTAAGGCATGTCTTTTTTCTGTTCTGTGCTGTCCCTGAGAAACCACGGAGCCGGCTGACAGCTACTCCGGTCCCTGAAGCCTGTCTCCTCAGCTGCAGCAATGGTATGTCCCTCGTGGTCCTCATGTCCTATACACTTTGTAGAATGTGTTGACTCAAGGATCCTTAGACTGCTGCAGCGAAGGGCGAGAGAGGCTCCAGGCCCCAGTCTAAGAGCAGGCCGGCTCAGAGGATCATGTGTGTAACTTTTTTAGCACCCAGAAACAAACTAGCAATTAACCCTTGCAGGGCGGGGTTTGCCCCACGGGGAGGATTAAGAACCATTTTGCCCAGAGTTCTGCCTTAAAACATTAGGTGTAACTACTTAAAAATATTCTAAGCTTTGTGTGCATATTTTCACGGCAACAACTTTGCAGAAGGTGTTCTTGTCAAAAAAAGATTATAAATCCCATTCCGCTAAAATGCAGCACCGTTGAAAATAAATCTTCCGTTGTCCCAATCTTCTGTCTCCCCGCTTCAGCCAGTGGTTTCTGCCGCTGCCTCCACGTCATTGGCGTAGGTGTCAGCAGGAAAACTGCAGCTCATGGGGGAGTGGGAGGGATCGTAAATCAACGAGACATTGTGGAAAATTTAGCACACCACCTTCCTTACCTTTTATCATAGCTGTGTCCCTCCCATTGAGGCAAACTGGAGAAAACCCTGACAGGAAGAGTTCCAGGAGAGTCAAACCACAACATAATCAGAAGACACATTTATGGCAGACTGTTAAATCTGAAAAAATTGGCTACTTTCATAAGTCATAGATTAGATTTAGATTCCTTTTTGTTAAACAAAACAATCACTTGATTACATCTTCATTCTTAATTGTTCATTTGTTCTGTTTGTTAATTTAGGAATACATTGAGACATTAAACTGCTTAAATTAAAACAAATAGTGCTGTTCTGCCAGTGGTATTTAAATGAAAACTACATGAGGATTAGCTGTGTGCACTGTATTATGTACAAAGTGAAGTATATACAGTATATGACAACTATGTAATGATCAGCAGTATGCACTTTATAATATACAGCACAGTGTACAAAGTAGGGATGTACCGATACGAGATACTAGTACTCGCACAAATGCTCCGATGCCTAGCCCAATACTTATGGTATCAGGAAGCTGGGCAGCGCGTCATTACACACTGCCCGGCTTCCTGATTGGCCGGTAAGCTGGCTCCATGCTTTCTCGTCACTTGTGTGTAATGACGTGCTGCCCGGCTTCCTGATTGGTTGGGAAGCTGGCCAATCAGGAAGCCGGACACCGTGTAATGACGCTACACCCGGCTTTCTGATTGGCCGGGAAGCCGGCTTCATGCTCCCTTGTAACCTCATGATGAGGGAGCATGGAGCCGGCTTCCCGGCCAATCATTACATGGCACCCGGCTTCCTGATTGGCCAGAAATCCGGCTCCATGCCTTCTCGTCACTTTGTGAGAAGCATGGGAACGGCTTCCCTGCTAATCGGGAAGCTGGGTGGTGAGTCATTACACGGCGCCTGGCTTCCCAGCTAATCAGGAAGCCAGGAGGCGAGTCATTACATGCCGCCTGTCTTCCTGAATGGGACTTCTGGTACTCGGTATTCGGTATTGGCGAGTAAAGAAAAAAAAAAATCATTGGTACTCGATACCGAAATACCGGTATCGGTGAATCCCTAGTACAAAGTGAAGTAAATACAGTATATGACAACTATGTATTGATCAGCAGTATGCACTTGATAATATACACCACAGTGTACAAAGTGAAGTATATAATGCAGCATGTGGAGTGCTAAAGACCAGAGCATGCAATATACAGCACAAATGTAATACAGGGCACAGGGTATATGTGGCGGGCCAGAGCGTGTAATGTAGGGCACATTTGGTCAAAGGCATAGCCCACCAATAATTGAGCTAGAACTGTACATGTTGGATGGAGTGAGTATAAGGGCTTACCAAGGCTGAAGAGTTCCTGCAGACAGATCTGTTGGCTACAAAGCTTTTGGGTATGTAGTGAGTGAATAATGAGCTTAGTGGAGTCACTTCTGACACTCATCAGTATGTAAAACTTAAGTCATGTCACCACATCTGGCCTCTACATTTTCTTAGTACCTGGTAAAAGGCAAACAAAAATGCTCACTTTTTGGCCCACCATCCTCACCCCGGCTGCTATACCTTAGCAATGGATTTTATCTGAAGTACACAGTACGGGCAGCAGTAGAGGAATGAGGGCATCGGGTACACATGGAGGTATCAAAATGTAAATATTAAGGGGCATGTGTCAACAGGCTTTGGGCTTGTGTGAATTGCATCAGTTTGACCCCCTTCTGAGATCATTGACGATTCATTGACCAGTGCAGCTGACCACCTCTTCATCTGCTTCAAGTGGGTTTTGTATTCCTATAGACTTGTATGGTAATGCAAAACAGCTTGAAACAAACAAAAGCCCCTTGACACATGTTCTTAAAGAGCCTGTAAATCTTCAGCATACCAACAGTTTGATTCAGCAGTGGGCCTAATAGGAGTGGGTATCATGCTTGCCTTCTTCTATACATAAAGAAAATATAGATTGTTAAATGTGGTGACAGGGTCTGACCTTGCTGTGTTCATCACTCACTCACTTCATATTTAGAAACTCGGATGCTCTTGCAGCTGCAAGCCTTCTCTTCCAGCCTACCCTCCTCCTTTCCTATCTGTGCACAGAAGAAATCTGTTACACGCAGCAAGACAGCCCAGCTGTGCCTCCTCTTACCCCTATCCCTATATGACCTTCTCTACAATAGTATCCACTCCATCTTGTTGGTGCCCTGAGTTGCTGAAAGTAGATGTGGGGCACAGAACTCTTCCCTGCTCCCTCCTTTCATCTCGCAGCATTCATGGCTTCAATACTTTGTGTCAGAGACAGGAATGCAGACCATGAGGGACACCACTCAATGACTTTGCTTGCTGCATGCTTATTCTGGTTCATTGAATCAGATGGTACAGAAGCGATTGAATCGGCATGAGATTTAGGCAACTAGACTTTTCTTTAAAAAAAAAGATCCTCAGTGGCAGACTACATTTTTTAAGCATAGGTTGTCCTTATGGACTTGCGTCTTTTCAACCTGACGAACTATGTAATGAAAGCTTTAGATGAATATTAGTTCTAGCCGACCTGTGACAATGAGACTGTCACAGGTCGGCTCAGTAGATCGGGAAGTGAGCGAACACATACCGGCATTCGCTCACTTCACGATCCTGTCACGACTCTGCCGTGACAGGGGAGTGGCTGGATTCCCCCCTCCCCGCTCCGATCCTCCAGCGCTGACTGGCAGAACGGACGGGGGAGGGGGAGGGTACAGCTGGCTCTGCCCCTAGATAGGCAGAGCCAGTTGTCATTCATGCAGCTGGGCGGATCCAGACATAATTGTTGATGCTGGTATCCCCTATGCCCATCACAGCATGGGAGTATTCACTTACTAATAGCAGCCTTGGGATAGTCTTTAATACTGCATTTTTGTTATATTTATATTATGTATTATATTTTTGAACCTGGAAAACCATTTTCTGCTTATTTGGTTAATCATGTTCAATTTTTGCTCAGTAGTCAAGCAGAAGCAAATGAGTTTACAGGAATGGTTTATCAAGGACTTCTTTTAAGCGAACGGAGACGGCTTAGGACTGAGAGCTTTGAAGAACACGCTACTCCAAATTCACCCCCTGCCATTTGGCCAGGTGAGGTCAATCCTAGTGACATTGTCAGCCTCTATAATATTGCGTCATTGTTCAAAGCTTTGTTTTGGGATTTTATTTAGCTTTTTTTAAACATACTGTAAGAATTTACCACACCATCTTTTTCAGAGTACGGAATTCCTGCACAATATACTATTAAAAAAGGGCTTACATTGAAAACCAATCATTTTGCTTTTGGGTAAAGAATGGGAAATTCTGGCAACATGTAACATTTTTACTTTCATATACAACTATATTGTGACTTTTAAGGGGTTTCCCACTCAAGTAAATGGAGTAGATGGTAAATTCTGGCAGGCAGAAAAGCCAAATCAGTAGGAAGCTGTATGCATAATTACACACAAGCCTACCACAACCATATTCACTCAAGACGTATTGTTTGTATTAAAGTTTGCTGTATGTCAGTGCAAAAAAAAAAAATTAATGTATTGCCAAGACTAGGGATTTGTGTGGGCTTGGTTAATCTTAACTTTCACGAAACTGTCCATGACCTATCCCCCCCTCCTGACCCAATCAGCTGTGGCAGGGAATTCCCTGCCCCTTTGTTTCATGTAACTGGGCCCGGAGAGGGATGTGTCTGACAGTTTTGCGTGGATTTGGATTGGTTGCTGCAGCCGATGGGCTGCAGTCACTATTTGTCGGCCAACTTTTTTTTTTCCCCGACTCTTCATTTTCAGATCGAAGGATGTTGGGTGAGAGGGCCGTTAGTTACTTAGTCACAAAGCAGTACCACAACAACAACTGATCAGACATAAGAAATAATTTTACGACGAGCACAAAAAAATCCTATTTTCTCTTTCGTTCTTTGAAGGACATAATCGAGATCTTTAGATCTTGACCGTTGGGATGTCCCGAAGCAGTAGGGGTGGGGGAACAAACAAAGCAACTTCCCCCGAGGCAGTAACAACACCCTGCCACCTGCAAGTCCCCTGACGAAAAACATATAAGGAACAGTTCCATAGAGGATAGATGGCCATGGGGCAAAAAAGGTAGAACCCGATCCATAAGACCCAGCTAGATAAAGATCAGTCCAAGTCACAAAGAGAATAGTGGAACAAGAAAAGCTGATTCCCCTCACCAGGAACCAGCAGGGAGACAAGGAGAAAGACAAACCTTAAGGGCTTGTTTCCACCAGCCTGCGGGGGGTCGCATACATAAAGTGTCCTTGCGTTCTGGGGCGGGAGGGGGCGTGGTACTGCCACTCAAGTCAATGGCACTGGAGACACGCCCGCAGTACGTTCTGCCGCGCAGAAACGCGCAGTAATAAAATGTCCTGCGTTCCAGTGCGGTGCGTTCGCCAAAAAATCGTGCCATTGATTGACTTGAATGGCACTTCCACGCCCCATAACGCAAGGATAGTTTATATATGGGATCCCTTGCGTTCCTGGCACGGGACATTGCGTTAGACGCACGGGCTGGTGGAAAAAAAAAAGCCCTCAAAGAGTAGCAAAATCACATCCAAGCAATGAAGACATTTCTACTGTAACAGGACCACCCACGATGCAAATTTCAGCTGCTTCATCAAGAACCAACCAAAGTCTGCTACGTGTAACATCTGCCTGATTGTATAACTACTTGTTTGATTTCTCACCTGTTCATGCCTACAAAAGTGTCCGTGTTGTGCCAATTTACTCTAAAGTCATCATTTTGTCTCTTTCTTTCTTATTGTTGTGTTATTTTCCTCCTCAGGTGTAAGTTCCCTTATAAATCTACTAAACACGGCTCAGGATGAAGACCAGCCCAAACTCAATGTCTTGCTGTGTGAAGCTGTTGTTGCAGTCTATGTGAGCTTGTTGATACATGCCCTCGCTACTGACTCCAGTACAGAATTGTTTCGATTGGCTGCCCATCCTCTCAATGGTCGAATGTGGGCAGCTGTTTTTGGAGGTGGTGTCAAGCTTGTTGTGAAACCGAGAAAACCACCGGAAATTATTCCAGGTACTCTGCTTTCCATTTTTTTAGTGGAAGGTCTGTTTATACTGGCTGCCTTAGCTTTGAACCTGTAGTGCTGTTTTCTGCTTCTTTCCTCCAAATTGTAATATGCAGAACAAGTGCAAAAAATATGGCACAGCTTGTCATTTATAATCTGCTCGTATTTGTACTTGATGTATCTCATCCAGGTAATGAGCAACAAAAAACTCAGTGTACTCTCCCTTTATCAAATGAAGAACACCCCACAGCAGAAACCTCTTTGCTAAGCATTAAAGGCAATGCTTCTGTTATTGATATGGGACAAGAGTCTCAAGTGTGTGGTGAGAAACCCAGTATGATGGTTGCTGTGCTCCAAGTGTGAACTGTATTGTTTCCTTCAATCACTTACAGATCTGTGAACGAGCACTTTGAAACTAATGCATGATCCAAAACTAATTTAAATAAATAAAATAGCACACTAGCACTGTTTCCACACCTAGGCTTCATGTTGTACTTCATATCTGTATTCTTCCTTGATTGGATGTTTAATTGTGCATGTAGAGTTATTAGGAATGTATAGCGGCTTCTTTATAAGTCCAGTGAGTATTCAGATTTCTCCTCACAGCAATACCTGTCTTATCAGAGGAAATAGATAAGCATCGTCGTCGGTTTAATATGAGGATGCTGGTGCCTGGTAGACCGACTAAGGATGTGGCTGTCCCACCCCCAGTTCCTGCTGAGAGACCAACATACAAGGAGAAGTTTATTCCTCCAGAACTAAGCATGTGGGACTATTTTGTGGCAAAAGTAAGTGATATCTTTTGTTTTATTGGCAGTATAGTGAATGTGATATTAAAATATGGCATATCAGCCATTAATTTAGCCGTATGGTAAAACGGTGTGTCCGCTGGGTGGCAGCAGTGAACCACTGTGCCTTGCATTGTTACAAAGCTAGGCACTATTGATTTTTGTAAAAAAATTTTTACAAAGTGTACACTCCATTTATGTCTCCCCACAGCAGCCCATGGCACCACACATTACACCCACGTTGTGGTGTGAACAGTTGTTTTCTATGTGCCCTAGTGGTGGCTGGCTTGGTGCCAGTGTGGAATAAACCCAGTCAACGCTGTACGTGTGAATGGACCTCACTCTTTCCCTTGCTCATCTGTGTAATGATGACCAGCTCCTCAATGAAATAGAATGTTAAAACTTTACCCTCTACAAAAGTCTTTCCCATTTTCTCAGCGTTTAATGTTATGATTACTTGGGTATCTCTCTGCCCTATCCAAAGCAATGTGTTTGCACAAATTTGCAGGATTGTATTTTCCACACTTTCACATAACATAATTCTGAAAATATCTATGTTGTGAGTTGCAATGACAATGTTACTCCCCTTTCCTTATTTATAAACTGCCCAGTCTCACAGAGGAGTGATAGAGATTGCTCATTATAATTGGATTAATTACACTTTGTTGTGCCGCTTCCTGTGGGACTGGACAGTAGTTAAGGGATATGAAAGATTATCTTACATTCTAAAGGCAATTATATAGATACACATTGAGAGTCATTATTGAATGGGAGCCAGTCAGCTGTTGGAGAGAATGGTATGTTCTTTTTATGTTTGAGTTTGATTTCTACAACCTTCATGAAGATTTTGCCCCTGTTCGCAACTGAATGCACAACTGGTGCTGCAAAGCCATATAGTTCTAACCACTTGTTCCTAGCAGTTTGTAAAAGTTATGTTTAATATTTAAAGTGTATGCAGTGGCATGTACTGTATGTCTACATTTTCTGTTGCCTGTGGGGGCAGACTGAAACTGGGATCAGGTTTGGTAGGTACCCGTAATTGTAGTACTAAAGGTGATTTCCTTAGAATCAATGTACGTGAGTATTCTGGACAGGAGAAAAGAAGTAGTAATACTTAAGACAAGATATTTAAGGTCTTGGTTCTCAACTGGTGGGTAATGACCCAAAAGTGAGTCGCAACCCCATGCCCAGTGGGTCGCCGCATGCTTTCCACTATTCTAGGTGAGAGGCTCCTCTGCCTCCTCCATAGCGCAGCACTGTCAGTTCTCACACCAAGCAGCCATTCAAAATATGCTGAATGTCAGCTTGAGATGCAATGGGGTTATGGCCGCGAGGGAGCTCTATTCATGCATGCATTGCTTACAGCTCCCTCATGTGTCCTATAGAGGTATACAAGCAATGCACATATGGATGGGTCTCAGTTACAGCACAGCAGCCCAAACTGGATCCCAGGCTGAGGAGCCACCCCAGTTCTGGTAAGGTAGGGAGACTGGGTGGATCTTAAAAAAAAAAATAAGAAAAGTGAAACATTTTTGAGAGTGTGTATTTGTGTGTGTGATAATGGGTCTGTGGTTGTGTATGTATGTCTGATTTTGAGGGCTCGTTCACATTAGTACAATGCGGTAATTGCATAGTACTGTTCGATTAATGCCCTGTACCACACAATGGCACCTACCATGCGTTCTGGTGTGGGAGGTGCATTGCATTGCCATTTATTTGAATGGTAACCCAAAGCACCTCCCACCTACAGTTTGTACGTCCGCATCAAAACGCGCAGTACCCTAATGGTGTGCAATCCCTTGCAGTGCGACTTGGGTCGTGATTTAATGACCAAGGACAAACGTGGGTCCTGAGGTTACACAGGTTGAGAACCAGTGGTGTAAGGCATCGCTGTTGACTTGATTTTAAAGTTGTTAACCCTAGGATTTCAATGTCCTTCCCTTTCTACTTAGTGAGACTCTGGTTTAATAAGTATGCAAGTCAAGAGCCGTACCTTCAGTCTTGCACAGTTGTACAAGCCTCTGTCCTCTACTGAAGGTGCTTACTTTGATTTCACTGCATTCATTGGATTTCAGCTCTTTCAATCATGGACGTTTAGAATTACATGTAGGCATTACCTAGGGCAGTTTCCCCAGGAACTCCACTGCTCCAGAGTGACATCTACCCATCAAGGGGTCTGCTTGCTTCAAGGCTAGGGGCTCTTTAGAGCAGTATTGAGGCAGAGCGCTGTAATGTTTTCAGGAAGCTATGCATGGCATATCTGCCAGCCCCTTCCACAATCCATGATCTGCCTGCATTACATGGAGAAGCACAAAGTGATGGCATAGGTGTGCTTAACAAAGTATGAAATGAAAAAAAGTTCAGAAAAGGGTAGAAAAGAGGAACCAGGGAAGGCTGAATATAAGCAGAGTAAACTTCAAATTTAAATCCTGCATCCAGGATCGGGAAAACCACGCCTTAGCTTCCAGTAACTGCTGACACTGTATTTCCCCTACAGCTCGGTACATTAACAATAATCAGCATGTAGGCATGTTGTGTGTTGTGTAAATTGCAATGTCTGTATAGGTTGGGTTTGTCTGCAGCTCATTTTGGAAGGATGTTGTCTATAAGAAGCGCATTCCTATCGCCAGCCACACTCGTACGAAAACAAAACTTTAATGAAATTTGTGTTTTTGAAGTTTTTGTTTTTTTTTTTTAATTAAAGAAGTCATTTATGTTGAGGTACATTTGGTTTTGAAAGATATTCGTGCCCACAAAGCAAAGTGATGTAATCTGTCACAAGCTGCAGTCTTTGCATGCTACAAATACAACTGTTTTTCTGCTCTGTTCTTTGTATTCTTACAATTTCATTTGAATTACATATATATATATATTTTTGAAGTTAAGTTGTGAAAAAAAAAATTGCCAGACGGCCATAAAGCTTCTTGCTGCCTGTCAGCATATTTCCCTCCCCCCCGTAGACTGAGCCATGCATGCGCAGCTCATTATGCCAATGAACTGACTCCTGTGCGCATGCGCAGTAGGGGCCCGGCCAATCAAAAGACCTAAGACTAAAAATCCAGAAAAAGACCCAGGTGAAGATGGAAGTGCTGAAAATGCCATTATGTACTAATATGCTGTGTATAATAGCAGATAATAACTAAACGCTCCTGGGTCCCATTTTTTGTTTTTTTTTCCCAAAATACTTCGTCTGCTCTAATATGTCATTTGTCTTTACATTAAATCTGTGCTTTTACCATGCTTTAATCTTGCTCTGTTCAGCCTCCAGGAATGAAAGGAAAGCCCTCTGTAAGCCATGTGCTTCCTAAAAGTTGTACCTTATACAGGAATATGAACTCCTTATCCTCTAATTAGATATAGCATAGGTTTGCTTTAAGATACATTTGATGCAGATCCTTGAAGGGAAACTATAATGGCTTTATGTATATGTACAATCTTTGTTTTACAGAGAAAGTAGTGTTAATGACCCCCCCCCCCCCCCCCCCCCCCCCCGATAATTACTTTTGCCGTGGGC